GATGAATATCGATTTTTTTTCTAGGAAAGAAAATATCGATATATATCGCGATATCGATATTATCCTACAGCCCTAATTGCAATGGAGACCTGCGCTGAGACATTTTAAAGTAATTGTGGCTTTTAAAATGTGTTCTCTCAAATCAACCTAAACAACTCAAAAACTTAACTGATTTAATCTTGTAAATGAAAGGGCAGATAATGAGGAATGTGTCTAAAACAAAAAGAAAAAAATATTTCCCACTCCAATGAAAACCAATCAGTCGCAGAGGGAGACTACAGACAGACCATAATAGCCTGCAGCTCTCCAGCTACGTTGCTATGGTAATTAACGATCGGCACCTGGGCTGGCTCTCTCTGGCAGACAGTATGCTGGAGACAGAGTTTCTATACTTGTGAGACACCCAGCGCCAGTCTCAAGGACCCTGACAAAAAACCATAAGCCCTAGCAAAATTTTGAAAACATTTTACAGGAGCAGGCATGTGTATCTATGTCATGACCACCTTTGAGACCAATAGGGCGATATTTGTGCCTGTGAGGGGGAGTTAAAAAGAGTTTGAGTCAGAAATCCAGGGAGCAGGTGAGCCTCATCAACGTCTGATAGGCTTGCAATCCCTCTGCTGGTCCAATGGAGTAGCTACTCTCCTGCAGGACTCAGGCAGCCAATCAGGAAGGTGTGCTCTCACAGCTGAACCTGCATAACAAAAGTAGCCTGCATATCCTCAAGAGGCCAGTGACCGTAACACTATCATAACCAGCGATCAGGAGGTTCTGTACAGGCTGAAATATTTCCTCTCTGTGTGTGTGTTTTGGTGTCCAGACGTCTCCAGACAAGGTGGACTATGAGTACAGTGAGCTGCTGCTGTATCAGAACCAGATTCTGAGGGAAGCTGGCCTGCACAAAGAGGCACTGGAGCACCTGAACAGCTATGAGAAGCAGATGTGTGACAAGCTGGCTGTGGAGGAGACCAGAGGTGAGCACACTGCCTCTGCAGGCTGCAGTGGAGCCCATGTGAAGGCTGCTGAGGCTCTTAAAACACAGCTGTGCAGCGTGAACATGTGTATGTTTGTAGGAGAGCTGCTGTTGAAGCTGGAGAGGCCAGAGGAAGCTTCAGAGATCTACACAAGACTTCTGGAGAGGAACCCAGAGAACTGGGCCTACTACAAGGGCCTGGAGTACGCCTTGAAACCAGGTGCACACAACATATATCAAGAATTAATTCCCATTAGAATGAAAAGTCTCTCTGCATGGATAATTATTAGAGATGTGCCGATCAGGTTTTTTCCTGCCGATACCGATCACCCATGAGGGCCGATCACCGATACCGATC